TATTATTACATATTATTTTACCAATATATTACCTGGATTTAAATGGTTTTTTCATGACAGTATAAGTTAAACTTATCTGATCCGTAAGCTAGGTGAGTTTTAACTCTGTTATATCGAAACTCGTACTGTTTAATATTATCTCAGTCATTTACAGTAATGATGGGATATTCACCCATTTAATCTAAAAGTTAATTTAACCGACATCACACGGGTGACAATTTACTATTAATAATAAAATGTTAATCCTAATCCTATGTGATGTCGGTTAAAATATATTATAATAAAAGATTTTCGCGTTTTATGAATAACGCAAAATGGAAACATGGTAGTATATCTTCTGTAATATAACAACTTTATTTGTTAATGATGTAAAAAAATAACATGACAAAAAAGATATTTTATTCAGTAAAAATACTTCATGACCAACTCTTCAGTGTTTTGTTAATTCTCCGTCTCCTCTTACAATAATTTCCTACATTCTTTAATACTTCTGTAAAATTTAATGATAATAATATAATTTTTGACATAATGGAATTTGATGGTGAATTTCACAAAAGACTGTCGGATAGATCGAGTAGGTCGATTAGGGAATATGGAACTGGGATTCATCAGATTGATCCATTAAAAATGACACCTCTTTACCACGTAAAAAAGGCTAAACATGCTTTATCTGCATTGAAAACAGTTGCTAATGAATCTGACTGGCAAAAGATGTTTGAACATAGTAGTGGAGTTGTTGTTTACATGAAGCAGGATACTTCAGTTGAAAATACTCCAATGATTAAAGGAGAATTAAATTTACAAGGATTTACACCTGATGAAATTTTCCCCGTCATTCAGTCAAGAGAAATTTGGGATGATTGGTAAGAATTTTTTTATTTGATTGATAATGAAAAACGTATATTAATTACTTTATATAGGTACGAAGGAGGATGTCTCATTGAAAGATTGAGCGAATCGATAAGTTTAACTTATACTGTCATGAAAAAACCATTTAAATCCAGGTAATATATTGGTAAAATAATATGTAATAATA